ACCAATTACTTGTTAAAGTTTGTACAATCAGTGGGATCAGTTGCAATGCATATATGTGAATGATAAAAGTAAATTGCACATTTGTCGAAGGAAATGTAAGGTGCTTCATGAAATGTTTTGTAAAAGATATGTTCATTAAATTTCAACATTTTCCTAATGTTCTTGTGCTTCTTTATACCAAAACAAAGGAAAGACATATTGTTTTGGTTATTTATACCAAAGTATGGTATCATTTTAATGGTCCGGCCCACTTGACTTCTACCGAGGCCGTATGTGGCTCACCATGTGAAATGAGTTTGACACCCCTGATGTAGTCTATTGTTGAGTTTTGCCATGACAAAAGTTTAAGATGTCAAGTAAAAGAGAAATTGTTTGTTAAGTCTAAAAGTCTCTTTTTAAAACAAGTAATCAGTAAAGGAATTAAATTACTTTTTCATAATAACCAGTCATTACCTGGGCCCTGAGCAAGTGTGATGTCATTTTCAGTCAACAGCAGGTGGCAAAATAGGCCCCCCAGAGATGGAAAAAAACGGGTGGATTTTGCAGCTTAATTCATACGAAACAAACACAACATGAGTCAGAATACCGTGTTTGGACGTGTGGGCCAAATAGAACATATTGTCAATACATTTTTTTTAGGTGACTTCCCCTTTAATGACTGAAAGCAGGGGTGTTTTTGTCGTGGGCCACATTTTAGTTATTGTTTCCCTTGGAGGGCCGTTATGACTGAAACCAAATAAAAAAAGTAAATAATAATGGTTTATTCAACTATTGTAACTGTAATGAGGGGTTTGGTGACAAGAAAATGATGACAATATGTCTCTTATTTATTACCTATGAACAAATTAAATTTTGGTAGAGATTTTAGCAAGCGTCATGCAAGTTGACGGGCCACATAAAATGATGTGGCGGGCCAGATCTGGCCCCGGGCCTTGAGTTTGACACCTGTGACTTAAAGCCATCTCATTCATGGTTGGCTGTGTGTAACAATTGAATCAAGCTATCGAGACTCTTGGGTGCATCAGTACAGGCTGAAATGGATCAATGGATCACTGGAACCACAATACTTTGTCGCATCGTTCCTCTGTGCAACTCTGCAACATTAGTTTTAGGGAAGGAATTACAGGTATTTACATTTGGCTGTGGCTTTAAGGTCGACCTGCCTGTGGGTCTAATGTTATACAATTAATCACACACCCTACTTATACAAATTACACAATTTGTGATGTATGAATACTCTGACAGTTAGTAACTCAATGAATGCCAGTTCATATGCATCCACACCACTTTTTTTATTAATTAATGCTAAAATGTTAAGATGCTCTTAATCTCAACCATGGTCATTAAAAACAAAAACAAACAAAGAAAAAAGCTGAAATCATACCTACTATTTCTCCTCCATTGTCAAAAGGCGGGTTGCTTTTAGGTTTTGTTTTAGCCACCTTGACTTGACGAGGACGCTTTTCAGTAGTGCCAAATGCAGTTTCTTTCTCCTTGGTTTTCAGCGGTGGTTTTGCGCCATGTTTCAGGAGCAGCTCCACTATCTGTCGTCAAACAAAATCAGCTGTTGCATTTACAGGAAATGGCAAACGAAAGTTTGTTTTCAGTGTTACTTTCGGTATATCGTATTTTTAAGTACCCTTTTATTGCCAAATGTGATGGCCTCATGCAAAGCTGTAACTTTTTTGTGGGTTGCAATGTTGACCAGAGCGCCAGCATTAATCAGACAACGACAAGCCTCATACTTATTACGGAGAGCAGCTTCATGCAAGGCTGTTCGTCCTGGGAGCGAGAAAGGGACATATAACCATGACCAAGATAAAATAGAACAAAATGGACTGCTTTAAACAGTCTGAGTTTACAATTCACCTTACCTGTACAGTCAGTCATGTTGACATTTGGTCTAAGCTTCAAAATGTCTTTCAGCAGTTGGATATCACCATTAAGTACAGCATTATGGAGAAGAGTTTCGCCAAAGCGATTCCTCCGATTCACATCTCGGAGTTTCAAAGCTGTGCCTGTGCATGTCATGTCAGTGGATTGGGAAGAAAAATCATCGAAGCAAATAACATTCATTCATTCATTATCCGAACTGCTTTATCCTCACTAGGGTCGCGGGGGGCGCTGGAGCCTATCCCAACTGTCTTCGGGCAGTATGCAGGGGACACCCTGAATCGGTTGCCAGCCAATCGCAGGGCACACAGAGGCAAACAACCATCCACACCCACACTCACACCTAGGGACAATTTAGAGTGTTCAATGAGCCTGCCATGCATGTTTTTGGAATGTGGAAGGAAACCGGAGTACCAGGAGAAAACCCACGCAGGTCCGGGGGGATCATGCAAACTCCACACAGGGAGGCCGCAGCTGGAGTTGAACCCGGTACCTCTGCACTGCGAAGTCGACGTGCTAACCACTGGACTACCGGGCCGCCCTAACAGCGTATATTTAGTCATTTTCATATCACATACTAAAATAGTTTGGGGAACTTTTGTGCTGTGAGTAATTACGTTATCAGGACAAAGGAAATCAAGAAACAGTCAATAACATACAAAGCACATTGAGAGACCATGTATACCTGTTAAAGATTTCTTTGGTGCCGGGAGGATTTTCTTACGAGCACTAGCTCTTTTCTTTTCAGTCATTTGAATTTTTCTAAAAAAAAACAAACAAACAAACAAAAACATTTAATTCATTTAAAAATGGCAGATCATTCCTTCGCTTGATCTTGAGACATGACATGACTCATAAGACAGTAAAATGTGTCATATTTACTAACCCCATTAAAAGACTGAAATTGACAAAAGACAATCTACTGACGAGTACAAGCGCCTACCTTGCTTTTGTAGTCATGCTCCTTGCAGAATGTCGGCCACTTGAAGGAATGCCAATGATATTTGTGAGATGATGGACCTTAGTTGCTTGCTGATCTGGAGCAACCTTTGTGGAAATAAATTTAATTAAAGTCCTAGAACACTTTGCTATTTACACTTAAATGCTGGGGCGAAGGAGGGATTTTGGAACTCAGGGATTGATGACCATACTTAGCTCCATGTAACCCTAATATGGATAAACTCAAAAGAAAGTGGATGGACCCTGGATTGATTACAGACATCACAGGCCCTTTAATTAAAAATGTTTGATCTTGTGCCCTTGGTATAGAAAGGATAATGGTGCTAAAACAACCATATTATCCAAGAGAACAGAGTGAAAGTTTAAATCCATTTTGAGCAAATGATAGTGAAACAGCTCTAAGATGAATGACTCGAAAAACACATTGACTATGTTTACATGCTCAAATGAATTGAGTTACTGACATAGTTCAGTTTCTCTACATCATCACACCTCTCCGTGAAGTCTCCATTTAGATGCACTGGGTAACATTTGATCTATGGCCACCTACGAATACGTCTATAAAGTGGTGACAATGCTCCCTTTCAGTTCATTTAGCTGTGGATTTACAAGAAGGAAAAAAGGTTACTGGAGAGGGGGTTGATTCGGTCACCATAGACATATACTGTACCTGTGATCGGTTTTTCCCACATACAAAATTTGGGGGCATCTGCATCCACCTTTGCCTAATTTTGGACAGCCTACAGTTCTATCATCACGAAAACTCTTATCTGCACTAGTTGCATGGTATTTTTAACTAAAATAGATTTTAATGCCAATGGTTGCCAAGAGGCGGGAATATGATAAGACGGCAAAGTCGGCGAGAAAAAGCTTGCTTTGGAAAATACTTCTCGCCATCTGGAAAACCCACTTTTATACAAGATACAACATCTGGACGGACATATTTTGTTTTATGCAACACTGCTTGCTACTTCGTTGGTCAGGGAGCTTCCATGATTGGCTACATCTCATTTTATATCACAGGTAAGTTATCGTCAAATTATTTGAGAGTAATCGGCTTTCAGTCAAAATGGTCGTATCCTGAGATTTTCCTATTGATTAATAGCGACTAAAAGTACTAATTAGTTACAGTGAAACTCCTCTACAACGAAATAATGTTTGCAGCAAGAATTTTTTCACAACAGGGGGTTTTTCACTGTAGCAAATTTGATCTCAGATGGAAGCACACACACCCACACACACAAACGTATGTGTACTCTATTTTTATTCCAATAGTGCATAAGTATGAGCACACACTTATTTGACACTTCATATTGTCAGTGTAGAAAGAAAAAAAGGGAAAGAAATTACGAAATTTACGATCAGCATTCACTTTCACTTGCATCAATTTCTTGGATATTGTCTTTTATTTTGCTTGCTCTGTCTTTCATTTTGATCACTATTACCCTCTTCCAGCATCAGAACTCTTCTCTTAGCTGCTTGACAATCCAAAGGTCCGTTTTGTAGCCATTTTAGCAATGCAACATCCACCCTCGTCTGAATCTAACAATAACTAATACTTCCTGGCATGCAATGAACTTTTAAACCAGCCACGGGACGCTTCGTCGTCCTCGATGGCCATAGTTAGCTCTCGAAGGCTAAAAACCTTATGCTAACTGGAGCGCTCATGAGAGAGAAGCGCTCCAGTAAATTACATCATAACTTCTCCTCAGCTGCCGGTTAACCTGGTTGATCTTCGACCCACTTTTCTCCAGATTGTCGCTACGTTTCTCCATTTTGTTTTCTCTTCTATTATTTTCTTTCTCACCGCTATTTTTTATTTTTTCTTCTCCGTGCTACCGCTATTTTTATTTTTATTCTTCGTGACAGGGGTTCACTTTGGCCTGGGGAGTCAAGTTCAGCATTCGCTTCAATGATATCTGGCGCCATCTAGCGCCGTGAATGGTTATAACGTCTAGACCCCGAATATAAGACAACCCCCACTTTTTCAGTCTTATTTCAAATGCTCGGTAAGCCAATGGCAGAGCAGCTATGAGTATGTTGAGTCCAGGAAACATCGTTCACGATGTAAACCAGTGTGGTGGTTGCTGTTGCGTTTTTTCGAACGAAGCAGTAGAGGTCGCTGTTGGATAAGACTTCGTTGTAGTGAATGTTTTCGCTAGGCTGGAGCAGAGAAAATGATTTCGTATAACGCAACAGGGGGGGTTTCGTCGTATGGGGGGCAGCAGAATGGGAATTGTGTTAATGCATGAATATTTTTTCACATAAGGGGGTATTTTCGCCCATGTAGGTTTCGTTCTAGAGGAGTTTCACTGTACTAATAACTAGGACCAAGGTTATATGTTCTCGTTTATGTGTTTACCAAACTGCAACGATACCAGCCATTTCCAAAATAGAATGACAGTTAGAGAGTTATTAAAGTTATAATCTTAAAATTCAACAATTTAGGTCACACCAAAAATCGCGAACTGCATTAAGACATTGGTCAGAAATTAATAAATTTTCAAGAGGTATAACTTTGTTCATATTTATCCAGTAAAATTATATATATATATATAATAGTTTTGTGTAAATCAATTAAAATGTAAACTCCAGACACATATATAATAGTACATATTTTTAAAAAGACACGCTGTTTCCATGTCCAATGTATAAAAAAGTGTAAAAACGTACAATTTACAGTGCAGACAAGCTAGCTTGCTAGCAAAATACAAATAGGCAATTTTTACTCAGAGTTTTCTGCTATTCATCTTTAATCTGTTTTAACCACCTAGTGTATGGGAAATAGGGGATATTATTAGCTAAAATTACCTGAAAAATAATCGGATTTCTCCTTCACCGAAGATCAAACTGCAAATCAAAGGGAGCTTGTCGATGTCGATGATGTCCACTCGGAGGACAATGTCGCCATCAAGTGGCGCGAAATCAATAGCTCAGACTCACTACGCATGGGCACAGGAAATCTACCGTCCAACCATCCAACAAAGCGTGTGAAATTCTTTCATCTACGGTACTCAACTTTTGAGTACAGCGAATCAACGTCGGTCTCTCCTCTCTCTGTCATAGGAGAAGTTGTGGTGATGTACTGGCGTGATCACAACAGTCTGTCAGAGAGCCATGAAGTGAAAGTGAGCCACACACACAGCACGAGTGTGTTCAACTGTGAGACAAATTAGTGGCATAACTAAATGAGCCATAGGAATGCTTTCGAGAATGACACAGAGAATTGCATTTCTTTCTTTACCGTCTTACTTATTTAATTTTGTAATGTGCCAAAATCCAACCTGTGTTCAGAATTCACACTTCCAACAATTCACTGGGCTGACCTGACTGATATCAGTGAGCTGAGTGGTGCGATGAGGTGCTTTCACACGGGTCACGCCCACACTACCGTCACTAAGGAAACGGGGCGTGGAATAATCGTCACTGAAGGAGCTAGGCGCTTTGATTGGCCCAGGTCTCGTATGATGTAGTAGCGTGCCATGGTTCCATGTGGCCTCGCATAATTGCAGAATCCGCTCAACTTGGATGAAATTGATGTCGGGAGTTTCAAGTCCAGCCCACTCCCTCTCCTCTTAATTTATCGCTAAACCTCTGTCGCATTCCACTGTCTTCACCCTCACAGGTAAGTCACGCTTATGAGTATTTGTAGAGATCTTTATGCATCGCAGACAAGGACTGTTTACGTGTTCCACGACCATATTACAAAGCTGAACACACTGTACACGCGAGAATAAGCACTCTACTATACTTAAAAACGTATACTTTGATTACAGAGGTACAACTAAAGAAGTTGTATAAGTAAACGCTGCTTGCCAAATGTGGCTATGCAAACCAAATTTAACATAAGTAATTCTATGACATGTTGGAAGTAGACTGTTATCTGAATAATTTAAGTACAAAAGTGTTTCTAAAAATTCAATAACACCACTAAAGATTGAGAATCCTGTCATAACAAAAATATACAAACACTTCTATGTACATTTAAAATGCATAATGCCATCATTACATTACATTTTGCTTAAATGCATGTCTAAATGATGCAGACAGAGCATGGTAGCTCCTATGAAGAACTGATGTAATTAACGTAAAACTAACTAATGTAAAACATTTTACGTAATTAATTTGACATTTAATCGATACACCGAATTGGATGAAAAAAATTTTTTTCGAGCGGACGAAAAAAAATTACAAGTGCAGGGCGACCAACTGTTACTCAGTGGCTTTATTTTTTTCGGAAACCACTGAACCCTGCGTCATTACGCACGTCACACTGATTGTTGCCGATACAGTATGTAAAAAACCGAAAAAACAAAACGCAGTAGGCGACGGACGCTCTGAATTGGTTGTCAGCCAATCGCAGCGCACACTTAGACGAACAACCATTCAGACCCACAGTCACACTTAAGAACAATTTAGAGCAGTGGTTCTTAACCTGTGTTCGATTGAATCCTAAGGGTTCAGTGAATCGGTCTCAGGAGTTCGACGGAGCCTCTGCCACGGAGGTTAAGACACACCCTACTCAACATGTCAATTAGTTATGAAGCGCCCGCTTTACCATCACTGGCTGGTTCTATATATAAAACATTCTAATTAATTATAACGTTCTGGCGATTGACCAATCAGAGCCATTCTTGACAAAATAACACAAGCAGGAAAGTTGGCAGTCAGTAACCACTGCGTAAAAAGTATTGCAGGGCACCACACTGCTGCTCAATTTGGCCCCTAAAATTTCAGACCGTGCAACAAAATTTTTCATCTACTCCCACATATGTGACCAATAAAGATTTTTTTTTGTTGCTGACAAACTTCTGCTCCACACCCATGTATCAATAATATAGTAAAAATGAATGGAAATGTAAAAATATTCTTCCCAACTACATTTGTGACTCATCTGCACCCTTAATTTTTCTTCTTGCGGCACAAAAAGTCATGGTAGAGTGGGCCCTACCATGACTTTTTGCTGCAAGTAAAAAAAAAAAAAAAGTTAGTCTGGAGCCCTGTCTTGCTCAAACTGATTGAAAATCGGCAAAAATACTAAGGTGATGAATATTTTTCCACTTTGCAACAGTCCCACTCAATGAGCTCCAGTCCAGATGAGCTGGTGGCATTTCTGAGTGTTGTTGATAAATGGCTTTTGCTTTGCATCGTTGAGTTTTAAGTAGCACTTGTGGATCTAGTGCTGAACTGCATTTACTGATGTTGGTTTTCTGAAGTGTTAAGGAGCCCATGTGATGATATCCTTTATACATTTATGTAGGTTTTTGATGCAGTGCAGCGTGAGGGATTGAAGGTCACGGGCAGTCAATGTCGGTTTTTGGCATTCCCGCTTAAACACAATGATTTCTCCAGATTCTCTGAACTTTTTGGTGATATTATGGACTGTCAACGATGAAATCCCTAAATTCCTTGCAATTGTACCTTGAGGAACGTTGTTCTTTAACCGTTTGAAGATTTTCTCCCTCAATTATTCCAGAGGTGAACCTTGCCCCATCTATGCTTGTGAATTCAGGGAAGCTCTTTTTATACCCAGACATGGCATCCATCTGTTGCCAGTTAGCCTGTACCAAACAGGTGTTTGATTCGCATTCCTCAACTTACTTTTTTGCCACCCGTCTCAGCATTTTTGGAACATTTCTGGTTGATCTCTGGAGCTTTTTTCCTTTTCTTTTGACACACACACAATTCAGAAAATTGGGGAAGTTACCACCCAACCTAGCAATATAGAGCAATCTGGCGAGCCAGGAGGAAAGGGTGCATAAAAGACAAAGAGTGTTCATGGAAATGGGAAATGATATTAACTTAAAGTTTGGCAGGACAATTCATTAACCTGCTCACTACTAAAGCACATTTAAATCGACATCACACAATTGATTCGGAACACCGGTGTGGTCAACTGAGCATAGTTACTACTTCTCTACTGTGGCTATATATTCAGATTTTGTTTCTTAGTAATTCTTTTTTCATATAGTATATGGAAAATTGCACTTGATTTTTCTTCTCAAAGTGTTGTGGCTCTCCTATTCTCGTATTCAACAGTGCTCGTCCACCATGCTGACCCACTTGTTCCGTATTCACGGCCATGTGGTGGCTTCCCATCCATGGGAGGTCATCGTAGGCACCGTCACCCTCACGGTCTGTATGATGTCGATGAATATGTTCACTGGAAACGACCAAATCTGTGGCTGGAACTTTGACTGCCCCAAAACAGATGAGGTGAGTGAATACAATGATGCAATCTACCTTAAAATACTGTGGTAACCGTATTACAATTAGGAGAGATTTCACATCAATGGCTTTATACCTCATCATATGCACATGAATCAAGAATATAAAAAAACACAAGTTCCTACCTTGCATAATGATAAGACCGAATGTGTCTATGTGTGTAGATAGATAGATGTGTGTCCATGCAGCGTCGTCGTCATTCGCCCCTCGGGCCATGAGGTGTTCCGATAGTTTACGTAAATGTGAATCACCCAGAAAAAGTGTTCACCAGTCGGGCGATCGCTCACTATGCTGATATTTGCCTATGACATTTTCAAAGGATTGTTAAAAGCCGACAAAAGCAAACATCCATGGATCAGTTCTTTACAAAACGCCAGGCAAAAACCACTTCTGAGAGAGAACATGAACTAAAAATGGCAAGAAATGATGAGGAAGGCAGTTAAAAGTTAAATGACCATAATTTTTATTCTTTATTCTTTGTTTTTTTACATTATGCACAACTCTCATTTATCGTGCAATAATCTAATTGGAACATGTATTTGTTACATCTTTTGATGCATTTTTATGCTTTAGGAACCATTTATGTCTGAATTGGGGGTGAGGGTGGGGGGTTTGGAACGAGTTAGGGCATTAACATGGAAATCGCGTCTCTATTTACAAAATTTTCTAGTTGAGAAATTTCTTCCAGAACCAATTAATTTCGTAAGTTAGAGGCAAAACTGTGTACTCTTTCATTATGTGAAAGTCTTCAGATACGTATCTGCCATGCTGCATTTTTCATGCCATGCTTTTAATTTTTATTGGAGTAGAGATGTGGTACAAAGATACATTATTTATTTGTACCATATCCCTGTGCACTGTATCTCAACATTTTATTTTTTACAGCTTATTCCTTTTTTTATTTTTAATTGTGTGCACATTCTTTTAACAGCAAATTCTGAGCAGTGACATCATCATCCTGACCATCACACGTTGCATTGCCATCGTCTACATTTACTTCCAGTTCCAGAACTTAAGACAACTGGGATCCAAATATATTTTAGGTATGAACATTTGTTGATATTACACAGAAGGGCAAAGACTGAAATGAGTTCTTTATGTGATTTTTGATTCATCCATGTTTTTCTTCAGGCATTGCAGGGCTTTTCACAATTTTTTCCAGCTTTGTATTCAGCACCGTGGTCATTCACTTCCTTGATAAAGAGCTGACTGGCCTTAAGTAGGTTTTTATTGTTATTATTATGATTATTATTATACTTAGTGCTGTCACTGTCTCCATTTGAGAAACATCAGTGGTTTATTATTTTTCTGGCGTGTCTTCCAGTGAGGCGCTACCTTTCTTTCTGCTCCTGATCGATCTGTCCAAAGCATGCGCTCTTGCAAAGTTTGCCCTTAGTTCCAGTTCTCAGGTACAAAACACGTCCAGTGGGACCCAGAAAATGTTTGATTGAATAGGTTTTTTTCAGGATGAACATAGGGGAGATTGATTTTTGGATTTCAATCTTTTTCTTTTTTTCTTTTTTTTTTTCCCAGGATGAAGTTAGGGAAAATATTGCTCGAGGTATGGCAGTATTGGGACCTACATTCACCTTAGATGCTCTGGTGGAGTGCTTAGTGATCGGTGTGGGAACCATGTCAGGTACTGTTATTCTGAGTTTATTGGTGAGATTGTTTGTACAGAACAAATTATACATAACTGAAGAATCGAGATTGACAGTTGTTTTTAATTTGAAAAAAGATTCATGTGTGATTTATTAGTCAATGCTGGGTGGCAAAAGGCTATGAGTCATTTGAAGAAAGAAAATCCCACCAACAATTGTTTATTCTATGAATGTATATTGTTTGAATGTCTAACACCTGAAATGTAAAATACGTTGTCACTTTGTATTTTTCAGGTGTTCGACAGTTAGAAATAATGTGCTGCTTTGGCTGCATGTCTATTTTAGCCAACTATTTTGTCTTCATGACATTCTTCCCTGCATGTGTGTCACTTGTTCTGGAGGTAAGAGTTGCATTTATCTCAGTAGGTTTTCATGTACTCAGAGTGTTTGCAATTGTATTTATGATGCCTGCGTTTTACTGAAGCTTTCTCGTGAGAGTCAGGAAGGCCATCCGATTTGGCAGTTGAGCCAGTTCTCTCAGGTGCTGGAGGAAGAGCAAGATAACAAACCAAATCCTGTCACCCAGAGAGTAAAAATGATTATGGTAAGACTCATATATTTCCTTATTTTGTTGTGTTTTGTTCGACGTGTCGCCTGTATTGTTTTCTTTTCTTTTCATTCCGAAAATGTGCTTGATGATTTGTGCATCTCTGTTGTCTGCAGTCTCTGGGCCTTGTTATGGTTCATGCTCACAGTAGGTGGATTGCTGAGCCCCTGTTGCTCAATGCTACAGTGGGAATTCCACAGGGTGCCATTGATGAAGAACACCTGTCCCCCAGGAGGATCGAACCAGAGATACCTCTGTGGCAATTTTACCTTACCAGGTAAATGGACACGAACAATCCAGCTTCTGTCAAACAACACACCAGGACAAAATCAATGTCCAAAAATGTTTCTCAGCATTGGAAAAAGTCAGCAACGGTGTTTCAATGGTGTGAATTCAAATGATTGGCAAAATAGGGATCGGCTCCAGCTCAACTGTAACCTTAATGAAGATAAGCGATAAAGAAATTGGATGGGTAGAATTTAATATAATAGATATCTACTGAGATGGCTTGTTATGTTGGAATATTTGCTCATTTGTAGTTATACCCTTTTTTTTTGTAATGATACACCTTTTTGTTAATGGGTTGCATCTTCTTTCACAGACCAGCAGTCAGAGACCAGAGATCATTTGCGTCTGAATTGTGATTTATCAAAGAGTCCAATTAATTTTCCACCCTTTTTCTAGATTCATTTGAATGTAATTGTAAGCCTTTGTTTATTTGCTAAATATAGATCACAAGTAATCGATGACCAAAAAGTGTAACGCAAAATGCTTTTGGTTTACTTTTTTTTTTTCTTCTTTTACTGACAGAATGATCACCATGGATATTGAGCAGGTGATCTGCTTGTCGTTGGCTCTGCTTCTGGCCATTAAGTACATCTTCTTTGAGCAAGCGGAGATGGAATCTACCCTATCAATAAGGAACCCCATCACTATGTCCACCCTACCCTTGGCTCCACGGCAGGCCATGGAGACTTGCTGCAGGAAGGAGCTTGAGCTTCTCCAACACCACGCACCCTCTCCCAGTTTGCCTTCCACCACACCATCCAACAGGGAAGATATAGGTATGTCTGTGCTCAGTTGCAGTTATTTCGCAGTCTTAGATAGAGATACTGAGTACGGTATCATGACCAAAATCAGCACATGTATCGGCATTATCACAATATCACTAAAATCAATGTTCATGTGAAACCAGGTTAAATATAAACAAAAACAAAATCAGAGATAGAATCACCACAAGCATTGCAACACATTTTATTTTGAAATTGAAATTTGAAATTGTAAACAGCAAAAACGGTAGTGATTTTATGTTGAGAGGGAAGAAATTTCATCTGTGCTGTATATAAAGTTGTATCCAATCCAATCCAATCTAATTTGTTTTAATGCATGCAAGACCCCACAAAATGTACTTAAAATGACAATGATCAGAGCGCTACATCTAAGAGGGATAAGACTATATTCTTCTCATTGCTTCTCCAGATGAGGTTATCCGGCCCCTGCTCAGTCCTCTTAATGATCCTGGGTCACATAATGACTTCATTCTTGGTGAAGGAGAAGAAGAGACCAAATCTGATAGCACAGAGCCTCACCTTCCATTGAAGCCTAGAGGCATTTTTGAGTGTGTGGCCATTCTCAACAATCCACAGGTAAGGCACCCCCTACTTAGTTTCAAATCTAAAGAAAATGTTGGCAAATCTCTTCATCGTATATGGTTAGTCTGTCGTTTAGCTAAGTTTTAAGGAGCTTCGGCCCCGGGCGACTGATGATTGGCCCATTGCCCTGCCTTGTATGAGGTTATGGCCTCACTGTATGCCACAGATACGTTATACCTGGGGTGGGCAACCCAAAATGTTGAAGGAGCCATATAGGACCAAAAAACCCCCAAAAAAACAAATATGTCTGGAGCCAGCCGCAAAAAATTAAAAGCCTTATATAAGCTTTACATTGAAGGCAATACATGCTGTATGAATCTATATTAGCTATATTTGACAAAATGACTAAGTTGGCTACAAATACACAATGAGCCTTCACAATTAAATGTTTTTTTCCCTGCAATGCATCCTGTAGACGAGAGAAGTGGTGCCCAAACTTTTTTGACGAAAGATCTACTTTACGATCAACCAACCTCCCGCGATCGACCCGTTGCCGCACGTGTGCATACACACGCATTTACAAACGCATGCCGTAATGAGCAACAGCCATAACGGCCCCTAAGATGATCAAGGCATGGGACGCACTTTTGCAGCGTGTCAACTATCATAGCTCACATGTCGCGTTTAAAATGCTTCTCTCAGCCATCCACATTCCCATTCTTTACAAACGTAGCAGCTGAGCGTTTCACTCTAGGCCTGACTAATTGATTTCCACTCACTGCACCCGTTACACAAATTAAAGTTTGGTTCTTCTTGGTGTGAATTGTTATGCCCGGAGACTGCAGAGGGACGGAGGGATGACGTCGCACAGGGATGAGATTTTTCCGCGTTTTGGCGGAATTCCGCTTTTTTTCCAGTCAAAATGGACCTAATTTATATTGTTCCAAATCCGTAAAAAAATTCTGGGGGGGGGGTCCGGACTTGTCTTCGGCAGATTCGGGCTCGTAATGTTTGCAAGCATCCATTTTGAATCCCGTTTTTTATCGCGAAGCGTTAGTTTGTCGTTACTTCCTATACGGGCTAAAACCAATGTCTTACTTGTTGTGATTGGTCGCTATATCGGAAAATGCAAATCACAACCAATCCGTGTTCGCCTTCCTAAACCCCATTCTCGCGAATGCCGAATGTTATCGGGACTCGCGACGAAGCTAAAGTGCGTCACATAGATGCGGATCTGAAAAACACGTTTCGATGGGACTGGTTGGATAGAAAGCTGACAGTGTCCCCAATAGGAACCAGTAAAGAGGAACCATTGTCTGTGCTTGTCGGATTTCGTGAAAAAACTCGATGTCGCCGGTAAAGCTCTGTGTACAGTGTGTGACGATGTCATTCTATACGGATCGAGAGGATGGAAAGCTTTACAGAGTCACGCAACCTCGGTGAAACACCGAAAACAGACATTTCTACTGAAAAGTAACTACTCGATCTCAAGCGCTTTTCGACAGCCTGGAGCATGTGTAAAAACAAGAGGAGTTGGCTAAAAAGAGAGTGGAAAAAGACGGAGAGGACCAATAAGCTTTTAGCGCTTGCTAAAAAGCTTAAAATGAAGAGAAAATAACGTATTCTACCCCATGAAACTGTATATTGTTGTATATACTGTAGATAGACTTTATATAATAAAATACATTCAAAACCCATATATAGTAAACAGTGTGGGACTTCACTATCACTGTATGAGGTAAGAATCAACAGCGTTTTATCACATTTACACAACACTTTATGAATACAAGTAATGAACAAATCTGAAATATGGCAGGGAATGTGTTTCCTTTTTTAGTTTTGATTTGAGCAGCAAATTTGAAGTTACATATTGGTGCTCACCAGGAATGCATAAGCAAATTTGCACTAATTTTTACTTGAAAGAATAGTGAAAAATCTTGGGATTTTTTTCTGTTAAAGTTTCAAATAGTGTGTAAATTGAATACACTTCATCTTCAGCATGTTAAGTGCCACTTTCGTAAGTGGCCCCGCCCCTGTCCCGGCCACGCCCCCGTCCGGACCACGCCCCTTTCCGCTTTTTTCATCACTAGCCACTCTCATCCCTGCATAGCAACATCGCTTCTCAATGAACGTTGTCACAAGTGCAGTCAATCATGAAAATGTCAGGGGGAAACACAAGCAAGCTTAACAAACATAGAAATGGTGCATCTCACCTCACAGAAATGCTTTTTGCAGCCCAACACCATGTTCCAGCTTTGTTTTTTTGACAGGTTTTTTTTTCACACATTTGATATCTGCTTTCCAAACACCAACGAGACAACACGACAATTGTTTTGCAGCAAGGACCTCGTTTCCTGACTGATGCTGAGGTGATGATGCTGGTAGACTCCAAACACATTCCTGCTTACAAACTGGAGGGCGTCATGGAGAAGCCTGAGAGAGGTGTGGCCATACGGAGACAGATGCTGTCAGAAAAGCTCTCCTCTCCCTCTGCACTCTCGTCGTTGCCATTCACAGATTATGACTACTCCAAGGTGAGATGATTTAAGAAGTCAAAACAAATCTTTGGTGTATGTGATGCAAAGCTATGAATGTGTCCGCCAGGTTATGGGGACCTGCTGTGAGAATGTCATTGGATATATACCTGTGCCGGTGGGCGTGGCTGGGCCGCTACATCTGGATGGGAAGCAGTTCCAAGTTCCCATGGCAACAACTGAGGGATGCCTTGTGGCGAGCACGAATCGAGGATGTCGGGCAATTGCGGTGAATTTTGTAGTTTTAAAAATATAAACAGTGATTGAGATTTCTGTGTGTGTGTGTGTGTGTGTGTGTGTGTGTGTGTGTGTGCGTGTGCGTGTGCGTGTGCGCGTGTGTGTGTGTGTGTGTGTGTGTCCATCCATCCATCCGTTTTCTACCACTTATCCGGAATCGGGTCGTGGGGCCAACAACTTTAGCAGGGAAGCCCAGACTTCCCTCTCCCCAGCCACTTCTTCCAGCTGTGTTCCCCTGGGATCTCTCTCTCTCTCTCTCTCTCTCTCTCTCTCTCTCTCTCTCTCTCTCTCTCTAATTCACTCACATTGTTAGAAGCCCGCAATAGAGGGAGGATTACTGCGATCCGGTACGTTAGGTTTAACTACGGTTATATCCTATACAGTAATTTTGCATAACAATTCGTCTTCACACCATGATTGTTTGAACCATGAAATAATAGGAGGGAGCCAGATATTACTTTTGGATTTTGTGTGTGTCTGACTGGCTCTGTTTTCTGTACTCTGTAGCTTGGAGGTGGAGCCAGGAGTCGCATCCTGGCTGATAGCATGACCCGTGGGCCTGTGGTGAGGCTGCCTTCTGCTTGCCAGGCTGCCGAGGTTAAAGCCTGGCTCGAAAGCAATGATGGCTTCCAAGCAATCAAAGAAGCGTTTGACAGCACCAGCAGGTAAACTGAGCACGCTTGTTGACATGTGCATGCATGGTCCACATGATTTCTTTGCCATGATGAGGCACATCCGTGGTTGACATTTTGGCAGGTTTGCTCGGCTCCAGAAGCTTCTTGTTGGTCTGGCTGGAAGAAATCTCTACATTCGTTTTCATTCGAAGACAGGTGATGCAATGGGAATGAATATGATCTCTAAGGTAATTAACAGAGAACTGTATGAGATTCATGATGTCAGTGTTTCTCAAGTTTTGTTCTGACATTGTTTAAAAGTCTTGGCAATAAATTAAGTGTACCACACATCTGAAAATGTGTTGTTTCATGCTGCAGGGTACAGAGCAAGCTTTGAACAAACTTCAGCAACACTTTCCAGAGCTGCATGTTTTGGCTGTCAGTGGGAACTACTGTACAGATAAGAAACCAGCTGCAATCAACTGGATAGAAGGCAGAGGAAAATCAGCAGTCTGTGAGGCCACCATCCCTGCTCATGTGGTCAGAGAGGTAAGTTTAAGTCTGTGAGACATTTTGTCTTTTTGTGAAGCAGTCCCTTAAAGGAGACCTACTGTTGCAAGATGTAGGGTACACCTTTAAAATTGCTCTACCTGAATTTCTGAGCTTCATCGATGACATAGTTAGGACTGGGTATCTATTCAGATTTCCAAAATCAGTTTGATCCACAAGGGCCCGATTCGATTCAATATTCAGTTAAGGATTTGACCCCTATGGACAAATTTTACTCTCAATGGAAGACATTCTCAGAAGAAGCAATGCTGGAAATGTTTCGCTCAAACTCTATTGTTAAAAATGTGAATATTTACATTGAGGATTGAATCGAATGCAGTTACATGCAACATGTATGTTTTATTGAACATTACTTCATCAGAACATTATATACTGATTTCAGTCAATTCCAACCACAGCGCAATTGTTGTAAATAAAGTGGCAAAAACACACGATAAACTCAGGATATTCATGTTCCAGCCTGCATCACAAAATTTGACTGTCTTTGTGTTTTTTAAAACCACCTAACTTCCAGACATCTGCCTTCAAACTTGTCGTCGCTGATTTTTAGTGCTTCCGCGATGTTGTTCTGATACGCTACTCTTGCGCAGTCACAAGATGTCTTGTGATGCAAAATGGCACACACGTTTATGGGAAAAAGACATATTAAAAGGATCGATTTGATGGTTTTATGAATCAATGTTGGGCTCTGAAAAGGAAAATCAATTCAATTCAATTACCGGTAATCTGTGTTTTTAAACCCAGCCCCAGACATTGACAACACAGTTTGCTTCAACTGATACCACCCACACAAACAATTGTCCGGTTCCTGAGTTCACTGTTATTTGCATATTTATCACATACAAAAGTTCCAGTTTATCAAACTAATTTTAATATCACACAGAGACTACCCGAGGAAATAATTGGAAGACTTTTTTTTTTTTAGAGTAAAGTTTATTGCAAAAATCTTTTTTTCCCCACAGTTATTGTTTATGAACGAATTGTTGTTCATTTGGTATTGTTTAATGATTAAAGTAAACCAAATAAGCAACATTGAAGCAAATGAGAGGGTGTGATGTTGTCAACACCAACTTTTTGAAACCGAGAGCTACTTTTTGGGTACTGATTAATACGAAAAGCTACTAGTTGAGGCTGCTTCGGGTTCAACATGCCAGTTACAGGTTATTCACACTACAAGCTAGAAATAATAATTATTATAATAAAGGGTGTTCCAAAAGTCTTGGGCACATTTGAAGTCCCCGTATCTCCTTAACTATGAATGACAGTAAGATAAAAGTCGTGCCATTTACATTAAGTTTTTCGTAAGGCTATTGATTATTTTTATTTCTTTTCAGACCCATTAATGGCGTTCACTCAACCAGAAAAGGCGTTTTGTGTGCTTGAATTTGCAAAAACTGAATCATGGATTGTTGTTCAGCGTGCATTTCGCAAAAATTTGGAAAGGAGCTACCAGCGAGGAAGTCCATAGTGAGATGGCACGGTAAATTCATAACGGATGGGTGCTTATGCCCAGCTAAAAGTACGGGACGCCCCTCAACTTCAAAAAATGTGATTGAACAAGTTCGAACTGCTTTCCAGCGGCGCCCCCGTAAATCGATCAGAAGAGCCAGTAGGGATCTCCAGATCTCACACCATGCGATTTCTTTTTGTGGGGATTTGTGAAAGGATTGGTCTATGTGCCCCCTATTCCAAGAGACGTGGATGAGCTGAAGGCACGAATAACAGAAGCTGTTGCAACTCTTGACAATGCAATGCTGGGACGCGTTTGGCAAGAATTTGACTATCGGCTTGATGTGTGTTGTGTGACCAACGGTGCTCACATTGAACATCTTTGAACATTCCATGTAAAAATTGAGATTACAAGCTTTCTGAATTTACCAGATGCATTTTTATATCCTGAATAGTTTCCGAGATATTTAATGACAAAATGTGCCCAAAACTTTTGGAACACCCTGTAGTTTAACCTGTCTATTATTGTTTTCCCTGAATTGATGGCGATTCCGTCACTGGTTTAGTCTGTAACTTGTCAGGAAATGGGAACAAATGACAGATTTAGATGAAATGTCTTATTTTGATGAAAGACAAAAGATTAGTCTGTCTTCATGAAGCAATGCAGAAATCTCAGGATATTAACTGTTGAGAGGCTAAACTCTTAAGATGTGAACAATTTTAAGTTAAACAGCGACTCTTAACAATTAATCGATTATCAAAGTAGTTCTCATTAACTTGGACACCTCTGCAAAGGACACACCCTGCTCTGTGACAGCGTCACTCTGTGGGTGAATGGTTGGATAGAAATTGGCTGCTAATGGTTGCCGAAAGAAAGCTCAAGCTTCTCATGCAGACATGTTGCCGTTGACTTATGTTTGGTTCTCTACTGTAGGTTTTGAAGACCTCAACAGAAGCTCTGGTGGAGGTGAACATCAATAAAAACCTGGTGGGCTCGGCCATGGCTGGCAGCATCGGTGGATTTAACGCACATGCAGCTAACTTGGTAGCAGCCATATACATTGCCTGTGGACAGGTAATGACATTCGATCTCTGCTCATTTTCATTGCATTCCCAACGTAATAGCGTAGCTGTATGTGTGCACGTCAGGACCCTGCCCAGTCAGTGAGCAGCAGTAACTGCATCACCCTGATGGAGGTTTCAGGGCCGATAGGGGAAGACCTTTACATCAGCTGCACCATGCCCTCCATAGAGCTCGGCACTGTAGGGGGTGGAACCAACCTGCCTCCCCAACAAGCTTGCCTCCAGGTACGCTCACATGCCATGACCATGAGGAATAATAGTGTAGCTGTAATAAGTATGAATCTTGAAATATTGGGATATGTTTCCTTGCAAGAATATTAAAGAAGAGAGCATGGATGAAAAATGAGCAGTCACTGCGTTAAACAGTAGCTAGATTTGTTGCTTGTCCTGTTTTTTGTTTTTGTTTTTCAAAATCGCTAGAGAGTCTGGAAAAAACACTAAGATGGCAGCACTAAGAGTGAATTCGGACACGTAGCAGCCTTAAAAAGGACAGAATAGGGACATGCCCACTATATACAGGATAGCAATAAAACTGCTAGCTCACCGTTATTGTTTTAAAATGTGGAATTTGTCACAGAGTAGTTTACAAATAGTGTTTAGTTGGATTGGGACTTAATCCATATTTTTACAAGCAACCTTTGGTCCAATGTTGACAATGACAGTTTGTGATGGTCAGAACGATGGTATGTAGAATTTGGGGCAGCGCAATTTACCATTTCATCATTTAAAATTATTTTTGTTCAACTGAAATAGGATTTTCTGACGCATGATATGCCCAAGGTAGTCATTAAAAAAAAAACATCTTTGAGTCAAGAATTTTGTCTGTGCGTGCGTCCAGATGCTGGGAGTACAGGGGGCCAGTGAGGTTTGTCCGGGGGACAATGCCAGACAGCTTGCCAAAGTGGTGTGTGCCACTGTGCTGGCTGGAGAACTGTCACTCATGTCTGCTCTGGCAGCTGGCCACCTGGTCAAGAGTCACATGACACATAACAGGTAAGCGGGGGTCATTATATATATTATCGTTTAATATGAGTAGTTTTCTATTGAAATGTAAACATTTTTAGATGTATTTCAATCCATTATTTTATAAAAATAGCACACTAAAAGAGAAGACCTTGTAAGACTTGATTTGAGAGTGATTGTTTAAAGAAAGGATATCACAAGGCACCTCCCAGCTAAATCCTAAACTTATGTTAAGAAGGTGCAGAAAAAAAAATTACTCTGTCTCTAGATCCAAGATGAACCTCCAAGAGAGCGTGGGAACCTGCACCAAGCAAGCCTCCTGAGAGCATGAAGGCAGCATGGCTCCCCTCCGTGTGCCCTGTCACTTGCTGAATCAGCTTGTCCAGGACCATATGGGCAAATGAGGAACTGAAATGAAGACAGACTGAAAGTGCTTTGAAACACACGTATTTGGTCTGACCAAGCTGCTGTCTGCTTCTCTTTTACCATGAAATGATTTCATTTCCATGTGAATTGAGGTTGTATAAAATCATACAACAAAAAAAAAATGCACATCCTCACTTTTATTAAAAAAAAAAAAAAGAAAAATGCACATCCTCACTTTTATTAAAAAAAAAAAAAAAAGAAAGAAAAAAAACAAAAGTTAACTGTGTGAATGTTGAACGTGGATTACACTGCAGGTACAGGTACTGTATGTATCAAAGACTGCAAAGGGCTGAAACACGATTAAGGAATACCATTTGTTTGAGTGCTGTGCGATATGGTCAAAATGTCATTTTCCCTCTCTTAATCCAATTGATGCATTCGATTAACTGTGGGACTCAGCCTGAATTCATTACTTGTACTTGGTGAGCGAGGCACAAAGATCATTAGAGTAGCACCGAAGCTAACCCAATACCCCACATCCAAAACTGAAGATATAAGTGATAGAGGGTTATATCATACAGTAAACATTTTAATATTGCGCCACAATATATTATTGCAATATACCACAGCACTAGTTGTTTGTATTATTGAATATTTATGTTCTAGCACCAAATTACTTGCAGTACATGTTTTGTAAACTAACTAGTTGCCATGTCATGTCTTCCTCAGCAATTTCATGTTGGTGTGCAGTGTAGTGCTTTCAAATTGCTGATTTTTAGAGGTGGTGCTTGTGAGTCTTTGTGAATGTCTCTTACTTGCCCTGCTATTCACTGGCGACCAGTCCAGGGTGCAGCCAGCAGGAATAGGCTTCTCATGAACCTCAATGGGTGACATAGCAAAGGAAATGGGTGATGTTGTTGAAAAGACACTTCCATCTCACCTCTCCATTATTTCATATTTGGGAAACAATGTTATAAATTCATTAACACACAGTCTCCTTGTTCCAAACATTTTGGTTATATTTTGTAATAAAAAAAAAAAACTTTGCTCCATCTGATCAATTATCATTTGTGTCTTAGAAATACTGTTGCTACTGCAGTAGCAGGTTCATAGTCACAGTACTATTCACATATGTTGTCATATCACTAGAAATAACTAGAAATACAGTAATTTACCTGCAAATATCAATTGTACAATGACAATTATTGGAATATGCAATGATCAACAAGGAACCACATTTTCTTTATTTAACAATTAGATGGCATTTAATTCATGATACGTATTTATATCCCATTAGTTTACTCTTACACATTTCCATTGTTAAAAATAAGCCTACACACCTGGGGTCTCAAACTGAATTAATGTGTGTGTGCGTGCGTGCGTGCGTGCGTGCGTGCGTGCGTGTGTGTGTGTGTGCGTGTGCGCGCGTGTTGCTGGAGATAGTTTTAAGCGTGTCTGGGCCACATCAAGTACAAAAAAGGGGTTCACGTATTCTAAAACTGTACACCTGATATAATCTTCTCAGTGTTTTTTAAATAACAGTCCGTAACATTCAGGGTTCTTCAGAACATGAATTTCATGACCCGGTCCTCTCTCTCATCTCCCTGGTAATTTGCATCCTCCTCGGCATATATACAGTACTTGAATAATGACATGTGATTTATTGAGCACCGTAACTTTCTCTGTGCATTAAAGACACGCTGGGGAGCTCCTGTGCTTAACAAAAAAAAAAAAATAGTTTCCTTTTTTTTTTTTGTTTGACTGTTGGTAACCAGCCTTCCTCGTTGTGGTCGGTTTTGAAAAAGACGATGGGACGGGGTGACAGAATTGTTTCCTTCCACTTGGTGTCGCTTCAGAATTAGTTTTCGCTCAAAGCAGTCATGCATCTGAGCTGTGGCTGCCCAGAAGATATATATATATATATTTTTTTTTTAATATATTGGCCTGGGAAACAACACTGCAAAAAATGTGGGTGCTGCATTAAACTGGCGGCTGAAAAATATATTGTGGGCCGCAAAATGGTCGTCGGGTGGCAAATTTGGGAAAAGTGACTCACACTTTATCGCAAAAAAAGAGTGACGATCGAACCACGTGACTCCAGCCCTCACCAGTTTCAGAGTGGCACTGTGAGGCTAACCGCCTGGTCTCACAATCTACCACTCCAAAACCCGACAGAGAGTTTCAGTGTAGATCTGCCTACGTATCATTCAACCATATTAATTTAAAACGTTTCTCATTTACATTAAAACACAGTTACAATTATATTTTTCTCACATTAGTATATATTTATATTTACGAAGTTTTTCATGAACTGAAACAAGAGCAATATTTCCACTCACCTGTATTATGGACTCTATGCACAGTTCTTTGCGTTTGGGGTAGGGTGCTGTTAACTTCCAGTAGCCACAAGGTGACAGACAACATTGACAAGCGTCAAACTCGTCAAAGTACAATTGTTGCCCACACTTGATACTGTCAATGTTCCCTCGAATTTTCTATGCGTCTGAGCATTCACACAACTTCCTGAGCAATCCTTGGACCATGGTGAGCAACATCAAGCATGCACACGGCCACCAAACTGGTATCACACCTGTCTAAAACCTGCTATCATCGGTTACGTGATGTAGTATGTTGTGAAAAAAGGACACCAAACACCATGTGACAAAACCAATGTCAAAAACGAGCAAAAAAACCCAACAAAAAACTCTTGAAAGCTTCTGAAGCGGCTGCCAACGAAATCACCATCTTTTATAACCTACACCACCGATGGGAAACATTGCGGTTTGTGCACTTTGAAGAAATGTTCTTTTCGGGCACTCTTCAGTTCTCAGGTTGCAATGTGTCATGCAATACTTTTTCTGTCACATTAATTATGAGTGCCACCCAGGGTTTGTTGAATATGTGTATTAATTAACTGTTACGCGAAATGTAAGTTTCACAGTGTTGGCATGAAACTGTGAGACTTGTGTGCAAAAAAATTTAATTCTTGTTAGTTCGATTGAAGCTAAGATGAAGTGCTTACAATCTAGTTCTACGCCTCGACATGCGCATCTTAGGAAGCTACATATAAAATGGACCCATCACCTTCTTCAAGTCAAGTCAAGTCAAAATGAGTTTCTTTTTTTTTTTTGTTTGACTGTTGGTAACCAGCCTTCCTCGTTGTGGTCGGTTTTGAAAAAGACGATGGGACGGGGTGACAGAATTGTTTCCTTCCACTTGGTGTCGCTTCAGAATTACATTTCGCTCAAAGCAGTCATGCATCTGAGCTGTGGCTGCCCAGAAGATATATATATATATATTTTTTTTTTAATATATTGGCCTGGGAAACAACACTGCAAAAAATGTGGGTGCTGCATTAAACTGGCGGCTGAAAAATATATTGTGGGCCGCAAAATGGTCGTCGGGTGGCAAATTTGGGAAAAGTGACTCACACTTTATCGCAAAAAAAGAGTGACGATCGAACCACGTGACTCCAGCCCTCACCAGTTTCAGAGTGGCACTGTGAGGCTAACCGCCTGGTCTCACAATCTACCACTCCAAAACCCGACAGAGAGTTTCAGTGTAGATCTGCCTACGTATCATTCAACCATATTAATTTAAAACGTTTCTCATTTACATTAAAACACAGTTACAATTATATTTTTCTCACATTAGTATATATTTATATTTACGAAGTTTTTCATGAACTGAAACAAGAGCAATATTTCCACTCACCTGTATTATGGACTCTATGCACAGTTCTTTGCGTTTGGGGTAGGGTGCTGTTAACTTCCAGTAGCCACAAGGTGACAGACAACATTGACAAGCGTCAAACTCGTCAAAGTACAATTGTTGCCCACACTTGATACTGTCAATGTTCCCTCGAATTTTCTATGCGTCTGAGCATTCACACAACTTCCTGAGCAATCCTTGGACCATGGTGAGCAACATCAAGCATGCACACGGCCACCAAACTGGTATCACACCTGTCCAAAACCTGCTATCATCGGTTACGTGATATAGTATGTTGTGAAAAAAGGACACCAAACACCATGTGACAAAACCAATGTCAAAAACGAGCAAAAAAACCCAACAAAAAACTCTTGAAAGCTTCTGAAGCGGCTGCCAACGAAATCACCATCTTTTATAACCTACACCACCGATGGGAAACATTGCGGTTTGTGCACTTTGAAGAAATGTTCTTTTCGGGCACTCTTCAGTTCTCAGGTTGCAATGTGTCATGCAATACTTTTTCTGTCACATTAATTATGAGTGCCACCCAGGGTTTGTTGAATATATGTATTAATTAACTGTTACGCGAAATGTAATTTTCACAGTGTTGGCATGAAACTGTGAGACTTGTGTGCAAAAAAATTTAATTCTTGTTAGTTCGATTGAAGCAAAGATGAAGTGCTTACAATCTAGTTCTACACCTCGACATGCGCATCTTAGTAAGCTACATATAAAATGGACCCTTCACCTTCTTCAAGTCAAGTCAAGTCAAGTCAGCTTTTATTGTCAAATATGCTCGATGTGAAACATACAGCACAGATGAAATTACTTTCCTCTCTCAACCACAGTGCAAACATGTAGTGCATTGAACACACATAGCTAAAATTTATGCAAAATTACATAAGACAAATATATAAATATATTAAATAAAAATAAAATAAATAAATGAATAGCAACAACAAATAACCATGGGCACTTGTGATTATTGCATATTCATAGTTCACATTCTTATGTGTATTGGCTGGGGCATG